ATTATGCCTAACATATTTATATATATATATATATATATAATGCCATTGGGTTGGAGAGAGTTAATGCCTTGAATATTGCAGATTTGTCTTGCTAGTATTTTATTATGTTTAAAAAGCTTTTCAAAATAATGCTTGTATGCCATAGTTTTGTCATTTGAATGGTAATAATTAACTTATTTGTTTAACTGTTAATCATGTAGATTTAGAGTTGATATTTGCTCTTTGTATTTCAGGATGGTGCACTTTTTTGTCATTGGAGAAGAGTAGCTGATGAAGGAAAAGATTATCCATTTGCTAAATTTAACAAGGTAAACTATGAAGTATTCCACATATATATAAATTGCTTTCAAAAATATAGTGGTATAAATGTATACACACTCACACATATAGTAAGGTTGAGTATGTTATCTTAACCTGCCCTCAACAGACAGGTCAAAGGGTGCATGTCAAGATGTTTTAAGAGATTATTTTGAAAATTTAATTAAAGTACTTTATTATTATTGTATGCCAATAAAATTGGCATTACAGTGCAGTTTATAATTACAATTTTAATGTTTTATATATATTTTAATTTCTCAGTTCAAAAGAAAATGTTAGAAAAAAAACAAATATGCATTTTTGTATGTCATATGGCATGTGTTCTTGTCTTTTTTGAAACCTCTTGTCTACTCATGCCTACTTCTCTTAAGTACATGTTTATAATCAATAGAAAGAGCATATTCCAAACTACATAAATCTGACAGTCATTTGTAATTGGCTTGAAAGTGAAACTTGTATATGACTGGAAATTTTGAAGTCTGTTGAGTGAGTTGCAACTCTGAAGAGAAATGAGATTTTATTTTAACCCATATGTAGCTTAGTTAGAAAGTCAGATAAATTACAGTAATTTTGTATGTACCAGTATAGTAATTTGATAATTTTTTGGTTTTATAAAATATGTCTCTGAAATCTACAAAAATTAATTTGCCTTCTACCTCCACTTGATAAAGGAGGGTTATGGCTAGGCTTAGCAAGTACGACACCTGAATACAACCCAATTTTATAGCATTGTTAGTATTGAATATCATTATATTTTGTTTATTATTTTATGTTTTAAGAAAAATTACTAAAAAATTAAGCACTTATGAGTAAATAGTAATATATATACACGTTCATAAGCAGTTACATATGTTGTACACTTACACCTCTAAATTCGGACCATCCCGGGAGAACAACTAACATCCAAATACCTACCAAGTTTATAGGATTGGCCCGAACTTTGCATAGAGCCATACCATAAACATTTTCTAACACTTTTATTACTTTAAACAGTTCTAATTACAACCACTGTACTATAAACAAGCCAGTAAATCCTCTCCCACTTTGTTCTCAGAGCCGCATTCATGATAAATTTTTCATGGAAGTTTGGTAATTTCACAGCGTGAGCTTATTTGCTACCAACAGTTTCATATTATGTTGTCACATAAACAATCTAATAGTTAGAGGAGAGATTCATTGCTTTATTTTGGCAGGATTCTTCTTCAGCTACTTATAGTAAAATAAACATAGGAAATAGATGTGAAAAGGTTAGAAGTAGAAACTCTCAGGGGAAGTATTTTGGAACTTCATGGTCAGTACCAAAGAGGATATTACAGCACTACTCACTTTATTTCACATTATTCAACCTTTTAAGTTTTATGATGGTTAAGAGGGATGTCAAATTGACTGACTCTGTATAAAGTTAGGCTCAAGGAAATAACAAATTTAAAGTTTTTCTGGAAAAAAAACAACAAAAATGTTTGATATTTCTTTAGGAGATTTTAAACATTATGCAAATAAAATTTGGAAATTTTCAGGTGAAGAAAAATATTTTTAACCTCAAAATGAAAATCAGTATATTCATGGACAGTTTTAGTAAAATTACAAAAGACTTGTAATGCTTAATAAAAGTTTGAAAAATCTTGTGAAGATACACAATACATATTAAAAGTTATAATATGGAAACTTTCATGGCCACTTTGGGGACACATGGTTGGTCTAATTCACGAAGTCAGTAGCAAAAAAGTAAAAATGATTTTGGAGCCTCACCAGGTTGCTGCTGTCACCACATCCAGTCATGTTTTTTCTGACAACAGTGGATTTTGACAATAGTCCAGCATGCATTATAGTTTCTATTTCAAAAGGCTTCATTTTAGTAGTCATCATGTCTAAAGCACATCCTTACTCCCTGCATATTTCCAAAGAAGACAGATTTAATTAAATAAAAATTGTTTACTGCTTTACTATAATGACTAATAAAATCCTTGCAATCGAGGGCAAGAAAAAAGAAGATTGTGTAAGTACTTTATTTCTTGTTTTTCATATTTATTCTTTATTTATCATTATAAAAGTAACTAAAATTAAAAGTACGGATCTTTTTAAGTTATTTAAGACTAGATTAGGTAAAATAAGTGTTAATAATAATATAATTAAAATGGTTTACGAGGCATGCAAGCAGCTCGTGGGTAATGTAATTCGATAGCATAACGTGAGCTGCACGTTCCCCAAGTGATTTACAACTTTTATGGCGGGAACAGCAGTTAGACATGTTTAGAAGGGCAATAAAACATTAAAATTTAATTATAAATAGATGTATAATGTTAGAAACTTAGAGCTACTTAGGATAAACGAATGTAGTTTCAGGCTACAATTTGAAGTCATTCTAGAATGAAAAGAAAGTTAGTTTAGGTTTATTATGTTTTTTTTTGGTGGTTACAAGGTTGGTCGAAAATAACATAAAAACTATAAGGATTTAGTGAAAAAAAACTTTTGAAATGCATTTAGGAGGTTTTAGTCATTACAGAAAGGAAATTTGAGATTTTTTAGATGACAAAAAGTATTTTTAATTTTGACGTGAAAATCACTTTGCACTCAGACTAGTTAAAAAAAAGAATCAATATTGTCACGGACAAAGGCTTCTAATGTTTACTATAAGTCTACAAAATTTTGTAAAGATACACTTAAAATATTAAAAGTTATTAGTATGTAAACTATAACAAGGTTATGGTTACAAGGTCGGTCCCAGGGACCCGAGCCCGTGTCGGAAGAGTTAAAATGTACAGTTGTTTTACAGATATCTGAAATATGAGTTTACTGAAGTGTATTGTTAACAACCAAAGGTTTTGTACATTTACACACATCAAATATATTACTTGTTAAGGAATATTCCATTTTACAGCAGAGAACATGTTCCTTCTATGTATTAACCATAACAAGACGTGGAGGGTTAGAGGGCATGTCATCACATTTGTAGACTTACATTCATCATTTTATTATTATTTTATAGATGTATGTCAATAAGATTGGCATCAAATTGTAGATTAGAATTCAAATTTTAGTATTATATGCTAGTTAGTTTTTTAATTTGAAAGTAAATATTAAAAAAAAGCTAAATATAGATTTTTGTGTGTCACATGGTACATTTGGTTAGGTTACATTTTATGACGCCACAGTACAATGTCTATAGTTTGGTATGAATTGCAAACTCAAATGTCTGATATTGGCAAGCTAGAATATTAAATAAGAACCTCCTATCTTTACTGTTTGCTGAGATATGATATTTATCGAATCAACCATATTGGCTCTGCCCACAACTTCATCATTTGAGAAAACTTGTTTATCTACTCCTGCTTTTATATACCAATAACTTTATAACCAATTGAAAGTTTTTCATTTCTTCTACATAATTCTGTCACTCTTCCTTAGTTATCTACGAGAGAAAAGCTCTTATATCACTGGAAAGTTTGAAGTATTACAATCAAGGCTATTTTGTGAATGGAGTGGATTTTTGTGGTATCGGTATAGTAATTCGTAATTTTTTTTTGTATTCCAAAATGCTTGTATAAAATCTACAAAAATTATTTTTCCATCTCCACATGTGAATTTAGACGAGGCTTTGCAAGTATGGCTCACGAGTGCAAACAAGAAATTTGTAGCATTATACGTAGTAGAGATCATTGTTTTCTGAATATTCTGTACTACATGTTTTATGTTTGAAGAAAAATAACTGACATTTAAGTATTTATTTGAAAATAATATTCATAATTATGCTATTCAATACGGTAACGTGAGCTGCATGTGCGCAGAGTAATTTCCAACTTGTGTCAGGGTATTTCTAGACAGAAATGGTTGATAGGTCAATAAAACCAAAAATTAATAAATATAAATAGATGTATTTTGTTACGAGATTTAAGCTATTTAGAATAAATACTTGTGGTTTCCTGTAACAATCTGCATTCATTCTAGATCAAAAGAATGGGTAATTTAGATTTATTTCCTAATTTCTGTGATGGTTATGAGGTTGATCACACTGACTAATACCATATAGAGTTACGGTTGATAAAATAACAGATAAAATATAAAGTTTTCTTAAAAAAAACGTTTGATGGTTATTCAGGATGATATAGAAGTTACTCAAACAAAACTTGACAACTTTCAGTCAAAGAAAAGTATTTTTAATCTTAAAATCAAAATTACTTTGCATGTTTGAGAGTCAACATTCTGAAAGAAAAAATTTCATGAGAAAATTTTTAATTTTAAAAATTGTAATTCTTAATTTAAGAGCCTGATGTTTTGTGTGCAAAAGCCTTGTAATGTTCACCACTAACCTGCAAAAATTAGTAAAGATTCATGTACATTATCAAAAATTATAGTACAATTATTCTCACAGATATAATCGTGGTTACGAGCTGGGTGGATGAAGCACCTGATGAAGCATCACGTTCTGATGTTTATAAGTAGGAAAGTAAGAACAGTATATTTATATACATAGTAGAGATGGCTGAAATGGGTATCAAAAACTTATCTAAAAGACAAAACAAATAATATTTTGACCTCCTCAGGTGATCAAAGATGATGATCTAAGCAGGTTAAAACGTTATATATTTTGTGTTTTAGATGAAAGTTTTTAATACCCATACCAACTGTCTCTAATATATATATACAAGTATGTATTTACTAAAGTTGGTACCTCGTCATCATGAACAACATATTCAATTAACTGTGCCTATTACTTGGGTTATTTCTTGTTCTGATCTAAGGTAGCTTACTTTCTTCAGAAGTTAATTTGACATGTTTTTTTATACCTTTTCTTTTTGTGCCAATTGCAGTAGCCATCACTTCATGTTATAAATTACAAACAAAAACTACAAAACTGACAGACTTGTTGATGTTCTAGGATCTTACCTTTTCAAATGGCATCAGTGTTACATGATATCTTGTCATAGAAGAAAACATTTTAAAGAATAAAAAGAACATCTAAAAAACAAAAAAAATTCACATATCTGTGGTGTGTTCCTAAATGTTCTAAACTTCTCATAAGGAGTTCTGGGCAGGCAGTGTCTTGAGAAATCACAAATGACTTCTCAAGCCACTATTTACTCTACATTGGTGTAAATACATAATAATCTGCTTTTTCTAATCATATTTAGCTATTGCTTCTAGCTAGTTTGAAAGCTGAACATGCTGGAAAACCGTAAAAGTGTGGCAAACAAGACATCTTTTCACATGATAATAGTTTCTTATTAAATATAAACCTATACTTTTGGGATGAGCAGGAAAAAAAAATTGGAACACTTGTAATTTTTCTTTGATCACTGCACTAAGTAAATGTTACATAATGATAAAATATCAATTCTAAAATAATTTTGAGTTAAAATTGTTTGAAAAAGTTTTTTTTATTATTTTAAATTAAATTTTGAAATTTGCTATACAGGTGTATGCTTGACTTGAAAGGTATTCTGTGATCTGTATAGGATTAATTTCTTCTCATTTATATTTTTAGATAAATACCTGAAAAATGCCATTAACAATATGAAATTGGTTATATTTGAGAACTATGTTTAACATAAACTATGGTTACCCAAAAATATCTGAAACTAAGCATCAGTCATAATTTATTCAAATTTATTCATTTACACTTTAATAGTAATTAAAAGCATAAGTTACCTGAATTATAATATTTTCTTGTTAGCACACATAGAACATTGAAAAAATAACTGTATATGATATGCACCTTTAATGTCAAAATCTGAAAAATACAGTAATAGAAATAATTATGGAAGAACAAAGCAATACATAGGTATGAATTACAAACAGCAAGAATGACAACAAGATGGTGGATTATATAGTGGTGCAAAACATTATCCCAGAGATTGCAAAAGAGAAGCAAATAAGTTGTATAATGCACTAGTATTTTGTGTTTTCATTTAGGTAGAACATTTCATGCTGTTATATGTATTATCTGAGTACCAATGTGGAATATTTTTCCAACTGTCTTGTATTACTCTCCACTATTCAGCTAAGTTGTTTGTTCAACTATTGACCTTTTCAGTTATGTGTAAATCATCAATACTGTTGGCTGAGATGCATCCACAAACTTATACTTATCCCCTACCATGCTTCACTGCAGATGTTATGCATTTAGATATACAGTCACAACTGGATCACAAGTCAGTGTACAAACAATTGCACACAGACTTCACAAGACTGTATGCCAACTGTATGCTATGGAAACTTTTAATCTACAAGATAAGTTTAAAGAGGATATTATTAATAACTTGTTGAAGTCTGTAAAAAAACTGGTGTTAAAACAAATCCATATTCAGAATTACCATATCTATATGTGATACCCAAATAACCTAAATCTCCCATTAAATTTCATTTTATTACTAGTTCAGTAAATACTATATTGAAGCCCCCCAATGGCAGTATGTCTGTTTAATGTTTTTTAATAAATATGCTCACTAAGCTTAAATAAGCTTATCTGATTTCATCATGATTTGATTTGGTGAACATAGTAAAAATTCTCATGTTTACAACCAACGTATGGTAGGCTATGGCAAAATACTGTTGATAACTCATATTGTTATTTATTGAATATTACTTTTATATTTATCCTACCCAAACACCATCCATAAATGAATTGGCTAACTGGTTGTTTATTCATTTCTAATTGTAGTTGCGATATGTTTTAAATATAACATTATTACTGTGATTAGTAGTAGTAAAACATGTTTTCATTAATTATCTATTTATTTCATTGATACAAGATCAATGGAGGATTACTGCATATTTTAAAAAGAAACAGAATGGTGACACCATGGTCATCTCTAATCAACATTAGCAATTTGCCAAGTAGGAAATTTCAAGATTATCTTTGTAGAAAACATCAGCCAAAAGTGTTTTTCAAAATAATTTTCTCTAGTCAAAGAATATTTATTTTGCAAAATGCACAAATGGTAACTAGCCTAAGATGTTTATCGTAGTAAATAAAGGGTATATCAAAAATTACTTAAAAAGTAACTAGCTGAAGATAGGAAGCTCAACTCATGTTAAAATATTGGAGTGATTTTTAAGCTAGTACACCACTGCTCTTTTTTTTTTATCTTTTGCTTGAACATGACCATCATGTATGGGGAAACTCGTACCATGGTGTCACAATGCTGTACTAATCAATCAATCAAGTATAATCAGTTAATGAGACTGTTGATTAATTTATTAGCAAATAACATTAATTGCCCAGCTTTTGTGGATAACCATATAATTGTGGAGCTAACAGACTTCTCTGCACAGTCAGGCTGCTTGAAGTTTTAGATAACAAATGCTCACTTATTCGTAGGAATAACATCTTTGAAACTAAATGAATTACTTACTCTCAAATCAAATTTAAATGTACACCTAACTTGTATGTGTAGATACATGCTGACTAAGATAGAAATCAGCTTATTTTAGCTGATTGTAATTTCAACACTGCATATAGTATTACTACTACAACTGTATTTTTTATACACATTCATTTCTAAGCCAGTTTGATCAACATTTTAATAATATTAATATCAGTGAAACAGCTGTTAAATTCAAATACTTATTGCAAATTATTTGTTCATGCAGTAAAGAATGATTATTTACAATTGGCAAAATTAGCCAAAATTTATACTAAATTATGGTGTTTAAGAATGATAATATTCTTTTTAGCCAAATTTCTATGATTATGTTTGTAATATTTTTCCTATTAAGTATTATAACATTTTTCATTTTCATGTACAATAGGTCAAACTTCTATCTTTTTATTTAAGCATTATAAATGTAAGTATTTTGTATTAATTTTTTTTTTATTATTAAGTAGATTCATGATTTGCATTTGTTTTTCCGCTTTTCTTCATAAAACCTTTGTCCATTGGTGAATTCCATGTATGTGCTTTTGTGATTTTATATGGTATACCAACATTCAGTCGTTTTTCTGGTGCTTTTATATGAATTTACATTTAGCTTCTGATCCAATAATAATTTATTTTCTTCAATACTCTAGTTAATTGCAAACAGCACTAATTCTTTATAAAAAATATATAATTATTTAATGTAGCTAGATATTCTTCGACGTTAGCTAGAATTTAAGTACAATTGAACACTGATGCATATATTTTATAAGCACCTGTTAGTGTTTCTCATTCAAAAAACGAATTAATGAATTATTTGTTTCTTTTTTAATAATACAATATGTTTTCATTTCATAGTGAGATTTTTTCAAGGTTGTTATTAAAGAACTCGCTTTATGTAAGCTGTATTTTTAATTTCTTAGTAATTGGAATTTTGTACTTACTATTAAACATATTTTGTGTGATGGTAGATATCCTTATAAGTGCATATAGTACATTTGACAAATTTGAATGTTTTATTAAATATAATCAGGTGAGAAACGTTGCTGATGAAGTGTAGCTATAATGTAATCAGTTTTACATAATGGTAGGTACTGTTAGCTTTTGTGATCCAGTATCATTACTATTGATTGTTTTTATTTTGTTTATGTAATTATTTTATGATTTAACATAAACAATGTTGCTTTTATATTCTTCCTATTTTCTTACAATTTTCAGACAGTCCAGGTGCCTTCCTACTCTGATGCTGAGTATCAACAACATTTAATGATTGACAGCTGGGCAAGGCAAGAGACTGATCATTTGTTTGACCTTTGTCGAAGATTTGATCTTAGATTTATTGTGGTTCATGACCGTTGGGATAAAATACGCTATCCGAATCGTAGTGTAGAAGATCTTAAAGAACGATATTACAATATCTGTAATATATTATCTAAGGTAAGCATGTTTTCAGTTTCATGAAATTATATCTTCATGATGTGAGGAGTTAGGCTAAGAATGATGCATTAAATAATATTTTTGCTTTTAAGTTAAATGATATAATAATGGCGTATATGTTTGCCAAAAAGTACAGGACAGAAAATGAAATAATCTCCCAATCATTTAGATTTAACTTACTTTGAAAATCATACACAGTGTAGTGTTAATATTACCTGATTCCTTTGTTTATTCCTAATAACATAGGTGCCTAACCGGATTATCTGAAGGAGCACATGCCACCCTGTTTTCAATATTTTTGTAGCAAAATATTTTCTCACCTTGCCTCATTCATCAGTTCTTTCTTACTTCCCACCCCACCCCCTTTTAATAAAAGTTAGGCACCCATGTGTAATATCCATGTAGATTGAGATGGTAAGAGTATGAATTTTTTGGTTTTTGCTACATGTATGTGACCTATATTTATGGAAGTCTGACATTATTCATATACAGGTAAGTTAAGCTTGAGTTAGTAGAGAAAAACCTTTTTTAAATTGTACAACAGTAGCAGTATTCTACTGCAAAATATAAAAGTTTTGTTCTGAGTGATTTCTGGTTTTTGTTTTTGCTTTCTTTAAGTTGAAATACCACAAGTCCCCTTGCTACTAGTCTGAACAAATACATTAAAGATTTCCTTGAGGTGTCATCAGTAGATATTCTTTATATTGTAATGGAAGGTTCTGTTATGTATGAAATACAACATTTTGTTTTATGAAAGATAAATAATGTGTAGTTTTTATGTATTGAATAAAACAATTAAGTGTTATCTTCAGAGAAATTCTAATGAAATATGTATCAAGGACATCTTTAATGTATTAATGAATGTCATTTAAATGTTTTTCACATTTGCAAGCTGCTAACAGTTTCTGTTCTCATTCTCATATTAAGCAAATTCAAGACATTAGATATAGGTGACTAATTCTTCAAACAATTTAAACTGTACATGAAGTTCACTAAATAATTTGTATACACCTTACAGATATTAAAAATCATTAAGTGGTATTATGTTTCTTGTTAAATGTATATGTAAATATGCATATATTTGAACATGGATAAATTACTAGTTCATCCATAATATGCAAAGAAGAAACACTGTGCTGATTTGACAAGGTAAAACCTTGAAAATTATAGTTCCACTTATTTTCTAGCCGTACTTACTGAGCTATTTGATATAGATAATGACTGTTTGTAATTCCAGTGTTGGCTTTTGTAGGGAGAAATGTTGATTGTAAATAATGGCATGCTGTTTTCACCTTAAACATTTTATGACTTTAATCCTGTAAACAATTTGACTGGCCTAGCAGGTTTTGGTCAAAATATTTAATGAAAGCTGATTCTGTGTTATTACTATGTGAATTTACACTTCTGATATGATATGCTACCTCTAGTCACATATTAGTTTTCCTTGATTTTGTGCTACCCTCTGTATGCACAACTTTTTGCTTGCCACTAACCTTGATGCTCCTACCTAAACTTGTGTTTCCATGTGGTATTGCTGTGATGTAAATGAGCATGTGACAACCATCCTCCAATCGAAGTATGACACACCCTCCTAGTGCAGCTCCCTCATTGCTGATTTTATGTCAGGTTTTTAGTGTATAGGCAGGATTATTTACAGTAGGTGTCTGTGACTTGTTGGCAATAAATTTCAAGTATAAACAAACATCACAATAAACAAGTCAAACGTATATACAAATGTTCGTTACACTGTTAATTATCACAATCGTCATCTCCACAGCTTTAAATAATTGTTTGTTTGTTTTTAAATCAAATTCCACTTTAGAACAAGATTTAAAAAGATAAATTATTTCTTCTCTACTCTGTTATTACAATACAGTCTGTGAAAATTTAACTTTAAAAATTTGCACCATATGCTCTTTACAGCTAAATTCACAATCACGCAGTCATGATCTAACTATTTATCTATTTATATCACTAACTAACTCAAAATACATTTTGGACATGTATTTATAGCCCGACAGAGGCCTGGAATGCTCTACACACTACAAGATATTGTGATGCAATATGTAATAATACTCAATCAAAACAAAAGGAAAAATTTAGAAGGTTCTAGTAATATGACACAATAAGCACCAATTCATAACAATTGAATTATACAACGTATCATTCACTCACTCTAGGTAAACAAACCTGTGATGAACTATCATTTCTAAAAACAACTAAATTATCACTTGTACTACACTGAAATGGAAACAGTTGTGTATATCTAACATTGTTCCATCTTCACTTCGTGATTTGATACTCATGTGTAACGATGTTCTGTATTTTTTGTTTGTTTTTTAATGAAAGTATCTACAGACATTACCTGTTGTGGAAGTATTTATTGTTCGATTCTTG